GCAACTGGGCTTAGCGTACTCCAGAAGTGAATACTGGAGAGCAAGGGACTTGGGGTCAGCAAGATGGGAGTCTGCAAAACACAAGAAGACAGTCAGCTCTGTGAAACCTGCACTGTGAGTAACGCATAGCAGATGTAAATCCAGCCGCAATAATCTCAGCTCCTGCAGCTGTGGAGGGCTGGGTCCAAATTTCAGGAACTCCCATTCCCTCCTCCCGCCTCCTCCCACCTCCTTCTCCTCCCTTCAAACCCCACAACAGCAGCAGCAGTCATCCGGCTCTCCTCCCCTTGCCGAGCAATTCGCCCTCTTTTCCCAATAGCTGCCAAATCCTGCTGTAACCTACAGCAAATCGGCTCCTCCTGCAATTGAGTATACAGCACCTGCAAGTGACTTTGGAAAACTCAGTCCGTGAATTTAAAAAGAGTAGACAGGGGCACACACATGGTCTGGGCGACACTGACAATGTAAGCCACAACAAAAGACATTTACATCCAGCTTCTGAATGTTCTGGATGTTCCAGGTTCACCAGCCAAACACTTCGAAGGCTGCCAAAAGAGCAACTGCACTTGTTTTTTTTCCTGTCTTCAGCCATTTCAGTTTTCAATCAGCAGTTTCCCTCAGTTTCCCTATAGTTTCACTCTAATTCCAATTTATTAGAGGAAAGAGATTAAATATATACAGAACAATTTAACAGCCTAGTTGGGTTCAGTTCTCTTCCAAATTTTCCATGGGGCATAAAAGCTTTCCTTTCCCACACAAAGATAACAACCAAATTAAGCAGACATTCTTATTGCTGTTCGGTCACAATACTCTGGTCTTAAGTAAATGGCTACTAAATCAAGCAAAAGAAAGCTGCTAAACAGACACCTCCGTGGTTCTCTATTTTTAAAGCATTTTCAGAATCAGCCTGAAGGATAAGGGGAGGGTTTAGGGTTTTTAAAATAATTCAGTATCACCCTGGCAAGATTTACAAAGGATCCTGCTGGTGCTGGTTTGGGTTTTGCCTCCACATGCTAACACTGTACAGACGTGTACAGCTGACATACCACTTGGGCACACTTTGGGGTGGAAGCTAATACCGATTATGAATAAAGTTTCTGTTTTATAAGAAAAACGGGAGTGACAGAACTCCAAATACAATCTACTGACTGTTCACTTTCCACTTGCCTTCCCTTACTGTTTTAAAATATAACATAACCACTATTGTTACTTAAAAAAAAAAACAAACAGGAAGGGAATTAGGTTACCTGAGAGAAAAGTGCTGGAGTAAGAGAAGCAGTTGGGAGAGAAGGACTCAGAATCCCCAGTGGACTTGGATCGCTGCCTGTAATGACAAGAGTAGGAGCCAACTCCAGCCCTTTGGGTTTTTTAGATCTGGAGAGGTGATTGGCAAATTCCTTCTCCAGCACAGATGAATCCTGCTCTTTGGGCTCCGGGGACTGATGCTGAAGGCTCTGAGCTTGCTCCAGCTGCTGAGAAGCCACGGACTCTATGTCCGTGTCAATGTCCAGGTCAGGATTAGAGCTCAGGGGCGGCGATGGGGGTGTGGAAGGAACTTGCAGAGTGGGAGAAACTGAGGATATGGGTGGAGTTGGGGTGAAGCTGGTGGTTAAGTTTGGCAAAGGTGCTGGAGCTTCAGGGACAGTTAACTTGGGTAGAACAAGCGTCTCCAAGGTCTGGAGAGTTTCAAAAAACGGTTGAAGTGGCAGAAGCAGTGGAAGTGGCAGGGACCGCTGAAGTGGTAGAGACCAGGGGGACAGATGAAGGCTTTTTGGAGGGCATGGTTACAAACTTGATGACAGAGGGTGTTGGGTCCTGAGCAGGTTTCTTCTCTGTCAGCTTCTCAGCTGGATTCTCAATCTTGATGGACCTGAAGAGTTTTACGCTGGAAGAGTTGTTGAAGTGGCAGAAGCAGTGGAAGTGGCAGGGACCGCTGAAGTGGTAGAGACCAGGGGGACAGATGAAGGCTTTTTGGAGGGCATGGTTACAAACTTGATGACAGAGGGTGTTGGGTCCTGAGCAGGTTTCTTCTCTGTCAGCTTCTCAGCTGGATTCTCAATCTTGATGGACCTGAAGAGTTTTACGCTGGAAGAGTTCAGGGAGTTCAGAGTAAAAGAGGAGTACAAGCCTGAGTGGATATAGTCATTGCGGCTGGAGGATTTAGCACATGACTGAGACTTCTCCTTCCCACAGTTTTCCACATCCTTTGGAGCACTGCTAACTTCCGCAAAACCAGTCATTTCAGGGTCTCCTTCTATACGGCCCACGACAAGTGGATCCATATTTAAAATCTCCGGATAAGAAACAAACTTGTACACAAACTTCTTACCATTCACTTTTTTAATGATATTCTGTGGGTAAGAAGATATGTATATTTAGACCTTCTTCAAATTAGTTTTCTTCCTACAAACACTGCCTAAAATAGACTGAGGAATTAGATAGTCTGTAATCTTTCATCAAAAATTGTTTCTTTTTTCTTTTTTAAAAACATACTGCATTCTTGCAATTCAGTTATGCTCCCAAAATACCATTTCCAGAGCTCGCAGACAAAACACTAGAACAGGTGAGCTTAACCTGACATTAAATATACTAACAACAGCCTTAAAACTGCCAAGCAATTCTGTTTAACGTATTTGAAAAGATCAGCTAAGGAACAAAAAAATACCCATTACCCCCATCAAAGATCACTGACCTGGGTACAGTAAGCGTAATCTAACAGGAGAACCGGCAGAACTAAAGCTTACAGGTTTGCAGAATTGAGAGCTAATACTTCAAATCAAACCACCTTTATTCTTAGTAAGATGATAATAAAAGAAAATAAGTAGTTGAACTAGTCAGCAGAATGTAGGCTAATCAGCTATTTCAATACCACAAAATAGCATACGTTGAACTCGTTTTGCTCCTAAGTGAAATACCACACACAATTTGGACATAAGAAAATTTTTATTTATTGTACAATTATTATTACTGAGACCTCTCAGTACAAAGTCAGATTTGTGCTACCCAATAATAAACTCCAAGCAACATACCACCTGCTACAAACCAACAGGTTCCTCAGAAACTGTGTTTTATTTTTTTGTCTCGTACACCCACACAATAACAGTTGTGGGATAAACGGCTTATTGAAACGAAGGTAAGACTCCCACACTGTGGTTCTAGTTCAGCTTTTCCACACTACCTGTGCACTAATGAAAGGCTCTCGCAAGTTATTAGAAGACATTAGCTAAACAAGAGAAGCATCTTACTCTGCTGGACTAAACTCGCTGACCACATTAGAGATGCAATTCTGAATGCAAGGAGAAAAAGAAAAATACTTTGGACTGCTTCACTGAAAATCCTTATTTTGATAGCCCCTTCGTACAGACAATTGCAGAAAAGATCTCAAGGTGGTGCAATATTCACCATCTCAATCATCATAATCATTTTGTTGCTTAAACTGGAGTGTTGAGGATTTTAACCCTTGCAAGGGCGCATATTTTTGGAAAGGGGATTAGTATTCAAAGACAAATTCGTATTAGCAAAGACATAAATCAAAGAAGATAACATCTTGCACAAAGCTATCTAGAACCTTATAAAATAACCACTGGGGAGGAAATGCAGCACAATGATAAACGAAAGAAAAAAACCCCTCTAAACATAAACTAGTACACCTTACTTAAGTCTGGGAGACAGAAGTGACACCTATCCCCTTGAAGAGAATGAAAAAGGAAACAAAGCTCATTAGGCAGAAGCTGGTAAGATGGATAAGGATTGGAGGTGGATTTACGGACTTTGTTACCTTCACATAATAGTATCTGAGAGCACGGCTGAGTTTATCATAGTTCATACTGGGCTTGTTCTTGCGGATTCCCCAGAGTCTGGCCACCTCCTCTGCCTGCAGCAGTTTGAACTCCCCGTCGTTGGAGGTCCAACAGATGATATTCTTGTTCTGAGGCTCTTGGAGGAGTTGGAGGAGGAACTGCCACAGGGTGATAGCACTGTCCATAGCAGTAAGCTGAAATTCAGAAAAGCAGGTAAGAGGCAACAGATTAGGAACAGCGCATTTTCTTCGTCTCCCTAGAAGGGGGTAATGGAGCAGAGATGTTATTTCCAAAGCCAGCAAGAGTAAAAATTATTAGTCACCAGTCGTGAAAGATGTTCCCTGCAGAACAGAAAGGCTGAGAGCCAACTGCTGTCGTCTCCTCCCACATGTCAGTACTTTTCACATGGGTTATATTTAGCCTCATTTAACTAAATCAGGTCACTTTGGGTAAGTTGCAATGAGTCACTGTCCAAAAAAAATTTTCCTAAGTTGTTCCATGTTCACCCACTCTGACTTGTACTGCTTTATGAGAAACAGCTCAGGTACACCCAGGTAAAAATCAAACCACCCACTCGCCGCCTCCTTTCCTTACCTGTACCCACCTCCAACCTCGGTATCTTTAAGAAGACAGAGCAGATCAAGTAACTGCTCAAGTTACCTGAAGATGCCACACTGCAGAACAACTCAATTTTCCTTCAGTTCACATTTCTGTTGCCTCTTTGTAAGCAGCCCTCTCAACCAACCCTCAGTTTCCTCTCTTTCAAATCTCCTTTCTTTTCCAAATTCCATCCCTGTCTTTTCTAAGAGAGTAAACAAGCAAGTAAAATGATTTCAAATGCTACCTTTGTTTTTCTTTTGATTCCTGCCATGTCTTACCTACATCAGTCACGTATGCTGAGACTTTCTAGGACTAGTATCTGTCAGTTGATTCATGCACTTCCAGCATGGTTTTCTAGCACTGAAGCTGTCGATGTATAAATTCATCAAGGACAGACAAGGCAGTAGAGATGACATTTTTCCTTGACCATATCTGACCACGTGAAACAGTACTTCCACAGATATTTTTAGGCAGAACACTAATAATCCTGTCTGCACAGGGCAAGTATAAGATACATTGTGAATTAACCAGATAAAATTATGTTAATTCAGTATCCCATACAGTTTCTCTTACTCCAGAACAGAATGGCGTCTATTAGTGCAGCTTAAACTTCTACCAGCGAAATAAAAACAAACCCAGCCACTCTGGAATAAGAACCATCGCGATGAATTACACTAAAAATGTTTTGATATGCATAACTGCTAGATATTTTTCCCCCACACACAGTTAAACCGCAATAAAGGCAAACCTAAACAGTACAGGGGTTTCCATCTGGGTGAATCTGCAGCCCGAGCAAACAAACGCTATTCACAAGCAGAAGCTCCAAAACAGAGGCATCAAGTCCAACTTCAGCAAGCAGGACCCACGCCCATATTGTCTGAAGTCCATGTATACGCAGGGATAAGTTTAAGATTCAGCCGGGACTGCCAGTTCATCTTTGTTACCAAAGCCTTTTATTCCAATCTCATTACTGCCCAGCACTTATCCAGCCCTATATAAGGAAGAGAATGGTCTACATGTCAGAGCTTCAGAATTTAGTCAGCCCTGTAAAAGGATTACTGCTGACAGTTTACACAGGACTACACATTCTTATTGAAATAAGGTGCCCTAGGGCAGGTACTTTTTTGGGCACTGCCCGTTGCATTTAACCTATTTTTAAGAATACCTGCCTAATGGCACACTTACATGACTACACAGGGATGTTACATTGACCAAGTCAGTTAAATTGCTGCAATTACAAGGCACAATCTCAAAATGAAGGACACCCACACCATCTTGCTATGCTGGCCTAAGGTGCTTTCCTTTTTAATTACTGTATGCATACAACTCCATGCTTGCCCAAATTAATTGCTCGGTACTCTAAGAAAATATCAGCTGCTGAACGCTGTGCTTTGAGACTCTTCCCACACCGCACCGTGGCATGCCAGCTGAACCGAATGGGAACTCAGGGCCAGACAACCACATTAAAACTCTTCCAGGACTTCTCCTCCGACCTGTATTCACATTTGCCAATAACATTTCATATCTGCCTACTGGCAACGCAGAGGACGTGCACGCTGCGGAGCATCACAAGCGGAGCCTCATTATCCTGTCAGGATGATGCACATGCATGGGGTGTTGTGTAGACATAAGGACTTGATTCTACCGCTCTGCAGAGCTGTCAATACTAGTGATATGTGTTAACAGAGAAAGAGCAGGAAAATGAAGTTGAGTGATTATTCCCACGCTACATTTATCTACAGCACTTTCAAAACCCATAAGCAGCACTGCACCAAATAGCACTGACTGATGCAATGGGAGGCAATCACGCAGAAATTAGATTAGCAGTAGAATTTGAGAGCGGCAAAGGCTTTTTTTTCCTCCTCCTAAAAATCCATGCAGATTTCATCCCAGAATTTAGATGCTATTATTTCATTGGGCTGCTTCCCTTTAGTAAGAAGTACCTTGCCATTATCTCAAAGCTCACCAACCTCTACCGCAGTCAAGCATTACTGCTGCGGTCACGGTTGGTTCTGAATTGAGTTGGAGATGCACAATGCTGACAGACCGGCACTCTGACAGCACAAAGTTCAGCAATACCAAGTATGCACAGAGTGACCAAAATGATGGAAGACATAAGATTTTTTTAAAAAAATCATCCTTCCCAGTGATGAGCTATGCTGTTCTGAGGAGTATTTACCAAAATAAGAAAGAGTCCATGCTACCTAAATCCGAAATACTGCAGCTTTGCGGCCGGAAGGATCCTCCTCCCAGGGGCAGAGTTACAGACTGTACTGGGATGCTAGATTGATCAAGTTACTACTGATGTTTCTGCATTTACAGGCTTTAGGGTTGTCATGATTCCATCCATCATTTGGAGGATATGCTGCATATCCTCAGCACCCCCTACTTTAAAAAGTCTTACGTTAGACACATTAACAACAGGGTGCAGAAGTTTTACTTATTTCTTGGCTGTCATGGAACAGGAGCAGAGAGCACTTTGGAATTGTTAATGGGCAGGTTATACTGCACATGAGAGAATGAATGTCCCTCTATTAAATATTTATTGTGTGCATCTACAGGAAACAATGGAGAGATACCTCAATGGAACTGGAAGTCTACAGTTTTTCTGAAGATTATATACAGACAAAGGAAGAGCCAGAAAATAACCCTCCAAATTGGTCAAAGGAATGGGATCACAGATGGATCTTGCCCCTTCAGAGTCCAGGAGAAAGCTGTAACTAGGAAAGTATAATATGTATACAGGAGACAACATTGTGTTATTAACCAAGACATCTCATTTAACTTTTTTATTAAAGTTGCTTTGATACAGCATAAGAATACATCAAAGAACTGTTGCTTCTTCAGGAAAAAGCAGAATAAAAAAACATCACACAAGACGTAAAATTAAAACCAGTATAGGCGAGATGAGCACTTCTCTTTGTTTAAGAACCGACTAACATGTTAAAAAGGTTCTTCCTTCTTTAGCACCTGGGGCAGAAGGCAGCTGACGCCTTTCATGAGCCTTTACCTTGCAACCACAGGGACTGCACAGCGGTTCAAGCTCCTTGTGTTCTCTGCGTTTTGCAGAACATCTTCAGCTGCCCTGGCACGGGGGGACCGGCTGTTACAGAGGCTCCCGTCCACACCACAGCCATGTCCAGGGCCACGTACTCAAAAACATCCCCCTCCTGCATTGACACTGGAAGGAATTCAGAAGATGCTCTTGTCCTTTTTATTCAGATGTGCAGCAAAACCCACACTTCAGAGATGTTACAGGCCCATTAGTTAGAGAAACTAAAGAAATCAGGATGAGGACAGGAACCCGCTGTCCCACTCCTACTCTACACTAACAATGGTGAGATGTTACTTCTCTCATGATTTGTAAACAGCTTTTCAACTTTCAAAACCAAGTCTCCTTTCATGAAAAGGCATCAATCTCCTAGCACAGTTCCCCATCAGCATAAAAAGCCTAGTAGTTTGATTGCTTTTTCTTCAAGATGAATACACCAAAAATTACAAGCATACCACTGCAAACCGTCTTTTTGCTGAAGGTTATTTTCCTTGTAAGAGTCCATGGAGAAAGAAAAAGGTCTCATTTGGAAAGACAATGAGGGAATTAGGCAGAGAGGCAATACTGCTGCTTATGATGACGGCCTTTCCACTTCTGCACCATTTGAGTACAAGGAAAAAATAGTTGCTAGAGGCAGAGGGCAGTTATACTTTGTAATGAGTATGCTAAAATAGAGCACTATTATTGTCTTGAGATCTTCTCTGACGCCTACGGATGACCCTTGAAGTATACTGAGTAGCTGACAGAATTTGGCTGCAGTACTCTAAATACAAGCGCTGCAAACTCGAGCTTTCTCATGTTGCTGCAGCTTCGTTTGAGGTTGCTGTAGCTTTGTTGGAGGCCTTGACTTTACAAAGCCTTGAGTTTACAAAAAAGCCAGGCCATGAGATATGTATCTTTTCCGGTGACTTCTCCTCATGCATCTGTGCCACAACGTGCTCCACGCAATCCATTTGATTACAGAGCCTCAAGGCTTTGCATCTTCTGTGGAAGGAGAGTGCGCAATCACTGGGTGGCACAGCAGACAGGAGGAAGAGTTTAGGAAGTGGCATACGGTAATCTGTCCCATGGCCAGCAGCTATACTTACTATTGCAAAACAAACTCAAGCGTTCATCCCTTCGTGCTCTAAAAGGAGAGGGACACCTCGCTATGCCCCAGCAAGGCAGCAGCCAGCCAGGCCCTGAGAAGGTAGCAGAGGCAGGAGCGGGGGGGGTCTGCCCTAACCCCCGTCTTCAAGGTCTTCTGGCAGATTTCCTGTGCTTTGACTCAACACCAAGAACAGCTCAAGTAATCTTTCACCTCAATTTGTTCCAACAGCCTCTTATAAGCATCTGCAGCCTGATGACTTCTCCAGATGGACTGAATAAAGCAGCCGGGTCTACAGCCTTGTCAGAACCCACACAGAAATGAAGGGTGGTGCAAAGGAAAGAAAGGATGTCACACAGATGTGACACAGTGAAGACAAAATCACCACTACCACATATTTAAATCGCATGATTACAGCTGTCCAGGTATTTACACAGAAGTGACTTCTCA